CGGCGGAGGAGGGGTGGCAGGGGCCTGCCACTGGCCATGCTACTTCAAAGTAGCATTGCTGCCTGGGGGGGCTCCGGCGGCTGGAAGTCGTCCCTGCTGAAAACTGGTTCTGTCTCGGCATTTCCACTTTTTGGAGCACCTTTCCAGCAAGGGCTGTTTCAGCATTTACTGTAGGTTCAAGTTTGTTAAATTTTTAAATGTTAGTTATTTATTTTTAATACAACATTTAACAGCCATGGCATTGTACCATTGCTATTGCTGCCTGGGGGGGCTCCGGCGGCTGGAAGTCGTCCCTGCTGAAAACTGGTTCTGTCTCGGCATTTCCACTTTTTGGAGCACCTTTCCAGCAAGGGCTGTTTCAGCATTTACTGTAGGTTCAAGTTTGTTAAATTTTTAAATGTTAGTTATTTATTTTTAATACAACATTTAACAGCCATGGCATTGTACCATTGCTTTTCTAGATTAAGGTGTCTTGGAATTTTTTTCTGTTTTGACTCTTAAAATCCACGCAGCTCTGGTGGCTTAGGGAAAGTCTCCTAAAGAGCCAAAGATACATTGCTACCACTTAAAGTCACATTTTAAAAAGAAATCTAAAGATGCAAATACCCTTGGTCCTTACTCTTTTCCTTTTTTGTTCTGAAATGGGAACTTAGTGCCTTGGTAAGTGCACTGAAAATGTCCCCTGCTTGCACTGCAGCTTCTGCAGGTGCTTGGGGCTGCTCTGCTGCCACGCCCAACGGTGCTTTGTGTCCTCTGCATGAGCTGTTCTCACTTGAGCAAGGGTGTGTGCCCAAGAGCCTCGTTTCCCAGGGACCAGACTGTCCGAGGACTCAGACCACAGGGTTCTTGGCTCACATGGCAGCCTCCCAAGTGCCGTCCTGAGTGTTCTTTGTGTCGCCATCTCCATGGTGCCTGGGTCCAACCGAGGCGTTTGCTGCCCAGCGCTGTGCTGCTGTTCCACGGAGGCTTCCTTCCATGGAACAGCTGGGTGAGCTGTGGCCCGCGGGGAGCTAAAGTTAATGACAGTTAAAAATACCTGGCTCTCAGTTTTACGGCCGTTATGTTAGACCTTGATAAACGTTAAACTTGTCGCCCTCAGAAACAGCGTCCTAAGAGAAGCCAGGGGCACTCTGAGTGGCCGTGCTGCCGTCAGGGTAAAGGGTCTGCTCATGCTGCCAAGGCCAGGCCCCGCTCCATGGAAATCCTGCTCTTCGGAGCTTCCCGCTCTGGTGTGATTTTGGAAAAATAGAAGGGCAGTCTGTGCGCCCCCGGGGAATGGCTTACCGACTCCGTATCCATGCTCTTTTTCTTCTCTTGATTTCAGAAACGAGTGCCAGTGCAATGCAGTCAAAAAGAAGAAAATCCAAGTAAATTACTGCATGGAAACATGAACCTTGTAAATGAGTGTGAATTTACCAATAGCGATTTTGAGCTGTGATTTTTCTTTTTTAAATAAAATTCTGTACAGTAAGTCATTTTAATATTATACTGTTCCCAACAAATGATTTTTTTTTTCTAAAACCCAGATAAATAGATATAAACCCCAGGTTCTAGATCCCCCTGGATTTAGGATGTGAAGTCCAGGGTTGGCACATTAGGGTAATGGGTTTGTATGGAATGGAGGGGGAGGGCAAAACGACTGTAAATTTATTTGTTTCCACTTTTCATAAACAAATTAGAATACAGGGTTGTCATTTTTAGGTATTAAAATAATGTATTGTGCTGGTGTTTAAGTACTGTATGTGAATAGCAGTAAGAGGGTTTATAAACAAACCCCACCTCGTTTGGAAATGTAAATAATTTTATTATATAGTAGAGCTGATGTATTTGTTGTAGAAACGGACCAGTGAAACAAACAAACAAAACAAAAAATGAATTTAAGGGTTTGTATAATGTGGAATCCCTCATGCTTGAAATAAATGTTATTGTCCTGTAATTTGGGTTGCAGTATTATTAGCACCACCGGCAGCATCGTTCCAAACAGGAAGATTGAAGGGATTATGTAGAGATCTGGGCCTGCAAGCTCCTTATACGGAGCTTTGGGAAGGAATTTGTTTCACCGCAACTGCATGGACCGGGGCAGCTGCTGGCACAAAGCCAGGGAATGGCGCAAAGGCCGCCCCCTGCCCAGGATGCGGGCAATGACTGCCTGGCGAGGAGGCCCAGAAGACGCCTCTCCCCATGAAAAAAGCTGTTTGGCAGGAAAACATGGCTGAGAAAAATGCCGTGTTCTGAAATGGGGTGTCCCGGAGCACATTCCTCCCAATAACTGTGCTGCCGGCGGCGGTGGTCAGCGTGTGCGTGCTGCTGTGGAAAGTAGGTCAGCCTCGTTGTCCGGGAAGCTCTCACCATGCGGAACTGGGAAGCCAGCGCTGCCCAGCTGCTTGTCACTTTGTGCACAAACGGGTGCTTCGCCTTTCATGGAATTTAAAAACCTGCTTGTGCATATCAGAGGCTGATTAAACACAGGTTGTCACTGAATACAAATCGTCACCTTTTATCACAGCCGAATTGCCTATTTGTGCACAAGGTGACACACACTGAGTGAGACTGGTGGCTGGGCCCTCGCTGCCCCAGTTTGGGTGCTCTGTGTCTTTGGTGTTGGAAAAGTCAGGCTCTGGCGCAGGAACCCTGCCGCCTCCCGGGTCCGCACCCTGCACCTGCTTTACAGGGGGTGCTGCGAAGCTGGCTTCCGCAAAAATACCCGCTCCTTTGGGATCATGGATCCATACCTGCACATTTATAGAGGCACAGCCAAGGGGAAGCAGTTTGGGAAATGGCCCATCTTTGCCACTTCCATCCTCCAGGTGGTGTTATTGACCCCCACCTTCACTTGGCCAGTGCCAGCGGGAGGGCAGCCAGCGGGTAGGGGAAGTGATTGTTCCCCTTTTCCTGGCACTTGTTAGGCCACACCTGGAATATTACCACCCGCTTTCCACCCCCCACCCCCCCACAGGCAAGAAAGCTCTTGGTAACGTAGAGAGGACGCAGTAGCGGGTGACCGAGGTGGCCAGGGCCTGGGAGCACCAGGGCAAAGCGGGGAGGTGGAGGGAGGTGGCCATCGCCCTTTCAGGTACTGCAGAAGATGGAGCCAGGGTCTTGCAGAGGAGGGGATGTCACTACAATAAATGGAGAAAGAGGAGGTTCTGTCTGGATAGAATAGAAGGTTCCCCCTGGGGAGAGCTGGGTGCTGGACCAGGGCTCAGGGAGGTGGCAGGACCTCTGCTCTCTGGAGATTTTCAAGCATCAGCTGGACAAGGCCCTGTACAACACAACCTGAATTTGGGATTTGCCCTGCTCTGAGGTTGGACTGAAGGCCTCCCAGGGTCCGGCCCAGCCTGAGTGACCCTGGGTGTTTCATCTCCTGCTGCCAAATTTGGTTTTCCCGTGAGAAGGTTTATCAAAGCTTGCTCTTACCTATCATTTTCATTCTAGCTATCTAACCTAAAAATTCCTTGAAGTGCTTCTCCCAGCAGCCGGAGCCTGTGGGTGTAACACCCAGAGCACCCCTCGGCTCTGCTCTGCCAGAGGAGCTGGCGCAGCCACTGGGCTTGGAAGCCCTGTCCCGCCCCTGCCCAAAGCTCGTGGCCGTGCCCGCTCTCACTTTGGGTATCTCCAAGGGTGGAGACTCCTCGGCCTTGCTGGGCAGCCTGCTCCTGTGGTCAACGCCCCTGCAGCAAGAAAGAGTTTTCTTACGTTTAAGTGGGATTTCTCGGCTCTTTTACTTCCATCTGTGTGTCTCATCCAGCACCGCCTTCTATGCTCCCCCATCAGGTATCTGCACACGTGGGTGGGATCCCCCTGCGCCTTCCCTGCTGTCCCAGCTCCCAGCCTCTCCTCGCCTGTCAGAGGCTCCAAGCCCTTCATCGTCTTAGAGGCAGCACTAGGGTGGGCGGCAAGAACCGCTCGGGCTGGGGGGGTGTGTGCTTGAAGACACAGCCGATGCACGGGGATGGGCTGACACGGGACTCCCTTTCACAGGGCAGTCAGCATCCGCTTGAGCCCTCGCAATCACCTGCTGAGGGTCAGGGTTTGGTAATGGAAAAGAAACCCAAAACCCCTCAAACAGCTCCGCCTGTACCATCCCCTCCCGGGTGCATCCTTGTCTTCAAAGGGGACTTTCTCCTAGTGCCTTGTCTCTGGTAGTTACAGCGTGGACTTTTAGAAGCTTATTTTAAAAAAAGCAAAGCTTTTTGCAAGCAGGTTTACTTGCAGACTTTAGAGGAACACACATAAAATAGAGTTTAAATATATTTTTTTTTATTTCTTGTGGTTTTCCTTTATATTAGATTTTTTTTTTTCAGTCAAAAAAACAGCATTACAACCTACCAACCAAAACCAGGTTACATACACACAGGCACACTACGCAACGTATTCCAGGCAGTTGTGGCCTTCAGGCTGTTGACACACGGCAAATGTTTAAACAACGTCCTACAAGATGTCGACACCCTTTCTCTGCTAACCTTGCTTATGCTGATTTACCACGGAACACACAAAGAGGACACATTTTGTTAGCTCCGTGGTTCGGGCCATGTTTCAGTCCTACAGCATTGGTGATGTAGAAGAACGTGGGGCTTTGCTTTTTCCCCCCGCCCCTCTTCTCAAAGCCCCCGTGTGGAAGCTGTCCCACTGTTGTAAGGCATTCAGCAGAGCACGGCTGATGATAGAGAACAGCAGCCTGGGGGGCTGCTGGATGGCGTGGGTCCCCTGCAGCACCCCAACCAGGGCTGCCCCAGGGTGGTGGTGGGCGTGGGGCAGGCGGCCCGGGACGGTAACATTGTCCGAAGCATTTTGGGGAAGGCTTAAGGCAAACTCTTCTGACCCAGCAGCGCTCTCTTCTCCTTTCCCTTGAAAGGAAACCCCAGGTGCTGTCCACGCCGCCTGTCCTGGCGAAGCACTGGTGCTCCTTTGGCCGCTACTGCTCACTCTCCATGCACAAACTGGTGAGGAGCTGGGGTTTAGGCTGAGCTTTTCAAAGCTGCCTAAGAGATTTAGCATCCGAAATACAAAATCTTTTTAGCTTAAAAAAGAAAGCGCAGCTAAATGCTTTCTAGGGCATTAATTCTGTTAGGCTGCTCTGAGAACCCCAGTGCCCACTTTCAAAACAACACAGAAAGACAGAAATACCGAAAACTGACTCCCCGGTTGTCTCTTGCATAGGACTTTTAAGTGTAGTTCACTGATTTATTCAAGTTCTGCAGTGGTGTTAAAAAAAAGATGACGGCCCATGGGAATGGGTGAAAGGCACATGTACAGTCAGGCCAGCATGGAGACGGGCAATGTGCCTGGATGGGTTTCGCAAGCAGAATGCCCAGGGTCAACAGACACAAATAAAATACTGCAGCACTCAGTGGCTCTGCACGGGTATTTATGGTACAAGAGGAAATGTTGCTATTTTACTGTTCTGCCTTGTGCTGTGCCCTCATCCCCAGATTTCCTGAAGCATAATGGTGTCAATGGAAAGCTGAGGGTAAGATTTCCGTGAGACTTGGGCACAGCTGCTCCCGGCTTCCCTGATGCGGGTACATGAAGTGAGTGTGGAAGAGCAGAGAAACTTTCGGCTCCCCCGTGCCACCCATTTTCAAGCTGCACTTACAATTCACAGTGCCGGTTTCCCCCTCCATTTGTAAGGAATAAAATCTCCGCCCCCGCTGCCCCCAGGTGATAAAACACAACCAGAGTGGCAGGCAGAGGGGTTTTCCTGGTCAGCTGTAACAGAGCTAGAGCTTCGCATGGCGTTGCCATGCTCCAGGACGTGTGGCAGCATCCCCCCAACAGAGCTTTGCCCTTGCTCCAGGAGTGGGGCTGGAAAAGCAGCACCCCCAGCTCAGAGCCAGTCTGAGAGGGGGACACCTGCGTGTTCCTTTTCCCTAAAAAAGGATTTTAAAAGGGCCTACAGGTAAGAGCCATCTTTGTTATTAAATGAAGCCGCTCATCTTTGTCATTCTCATCCTTCTAAGGAGGGCGTTGTGAGTTGAGCTCATGACACAGCTCGCCTTTAAGATGTGAAAAGCAAGGCTGATGGCGCGTCGATGAACGGCACGGAATGGGGGGCTGTGGGAAGACTCCTGCCCAAGCTGCCTCTGCCTGTCCCACCACCAGCACCCCAGGGTCGAGTGGAAGAGAGAGCAGCACCTCTGGCGGGTTTGAGGACACCTCTAGCCAAAAGAGGGGCTTGCCAACCCTGCAGAGCCTCTCCCACCACTTCACCCAGCTTCTGCAGCCATGTTCACATGACGCGGCAGCCGCTCTGGTCACATCAGCGGGACGAGGACTGAGCCCTTGAAGACACTGGGAAGTTATTCATGACTTTGACATTGCATGGAGCAGATCTGAGAGAAATGGGGGAGATGGAAATCTCCCCCTTGAAGAAGACAAGCCCTGAGGCAATGAACCCCCTTTAGGGCCTGCTCCGACAGTGGGGGTCCCCTGGGACGGAGGGGCTGCGCTGTGGCGGGGTGTCTGTCCTTGGGCTCCGTTCCCTGCAAGCAGCTGTGCCGAGGAGGTCACCAGGCACAGCCCTGCAGTGGAGAAGGTCCTGGGGGGAGCTCTGAGGACCAGAGGAGATGTCAGGGTGCTGGCATGTCCCTCCTGCCACCAGCAGCTACTTCTGAGTGCAGACAGTGGAGGAGGTGCAGCGAGCGGGAGGCACATCTGTGCTGCCTGCAGGAACAGTGGCCGGTGACCATCCCTGGTGGCTGGGGAGGCACCCTGGCACCAGCTGGACATGGATGGCCTCTTCTTTTCAACCCGGATGCTCCAGGAAGGCTCTGGGGCGGCATCATTCCCATCCCTGGCACGGGGGAGCGGGGCTCGGTGCCGCCATCTGGCAGGCAGCAACAGATGGATGCTGAGAACCATTTTTTCTTGCCTTGAGAGGTCCTATTGCTTTTTACTGGATGTTTTCTAATTATTACACGGTTTCATCTTCGGGGACTTGCTTGTCTTTCAGTAAATCCACCTGCAATTTAATTTCCACTTTATGCAGGGCACTGGAACTGGTATTTGTCTTCCACAGGAGCAGCCGCTAAGCCGTGCGATGCAAGTCCAGACCCTCGCTGGAGTGTTTTTTCATCTTTTTTTTGTTCTGACTGGCATGACAGGACAGCTAGTGTTTTGGGGTTTTTTTTCATCTAGTGGGGTTTTTTCTCCCCGGTGGGGTTGGATAGAAGAGGAGAAGGTACCAGTAAGATGCAAATGCAGAATTACCTATCGAGTGGAAACATGCCTGAGGGAAGAGTGAAGATTCCCACAGTGGTGATCTTTGGGATGAGCCGTGCATTTGTGTTACCCATGATGAAAAAGAAATGCCGATTCCCATGGAAAGAATCATTTTCCTTCCAGACCAAGCTTTTCCAGCAGGGTTTTTTGGAAAACATGTTTGTGCATGCATTTCAGAGTTGGGAGGCAAGGACCTTCACCCACCTCCCCTGGCAGCTCCCCCTGGCCTCGCAGTGCAGGCAGGAGCTGAAATTCAGGGAAAGGACTTTGTTGCAGCTGATGGCGAGGTGTTCTGCACGTGCCATGCCGTGGCTGCTGGCCTGCCTCTGCATGGTGTGGCAAGCAGAGCCTCGGGGGTGCTGCACCGGGGGGGTGGGGTCGCACGGGGGTATGTGGCTTTAGACCTGCCCTGCACCCTGGCCTGCCTGTCTGTCCCCGCTCCTTGCTGCAATGCCAGCATAGGGCTGGGAAGCTGCCCAGGCAAAGCTGGCAGTTCCTGGACAGACATTTGCCCAGGTCTCTCCACCAGGGAATTTTTCCTTTTTCCTTTTTTTTTTTTTTTTATGCTTTCCTTGCAAGAAATACAAGAATTTCCTCCCACATGACCTGCATCAGCCTTTCTCCATGCGATCGCTCTGACAGCTCCCCCCATCCCGGCTGCCTTCTGATCCCAGGGAGGCGGTGGGAGCTGGGCCAGCTGCAGAGCTCTGCTTCCCTTCCAAATCCTCGGGGGCTCACTGCTTGAAATCCGTACCTGTTTGTTCACAAACAAGCTCAAGGAGGGGCCAGTTGCATTCTAGCAGCTGTAAGGTGAATTTTCAGGACACAGGCGAACAACAAGGGGCCACTGCTCAGGAGTGGCTTCACAAATGGCCACAGCTCCTTTTCCACGCAGCCGCTGTGTTGGAGCATCGAGCCTGTCCAGCCCTTCCAGCCCGCAGCAGCCTCCCGCCAATGCCAGATGGCCAACCACATCCCCGCAGCATCCTTCAGGACCATGCAACCAAAGGCCTCACAGGCAGAAACAAACCCCACATTCAAACAGAGAAGCATGGAAAGAACAGATTTGCAAAGACCCCAGGACATTGGTTTGTTCGTCCCTGAGGACATTGGTTTGTTCATCCCTGAGGCCATGCTTTAGCTTCCCCCTAAGCAAGTAAGGAAAAGCAAGCAAGGCTCGTCCCAGCCATTCCAGCAGGACCCCAGCCCCAGGGCCTCCCTGCCAGCCAGTGCTGTCTTTGCTTCACTTTCCCGATGGGAGCATCACACAACTCATCACAAATTGAAAACACAGGGTGCAAAGAAAACCCAACCCAAACCAACAAACCCCTAAAAAACTCCAACCTGCACCCTGCAACAGCCGACCACACACCCGCGCAGTGTGGTGAAATATCGACACATGCACATGCGTGCACACGCAGAAGTTCGCAGTTTTTAAGCACCTTTCATTTGTTTTAGGATTGGAGGAGATGTGCAACCCCACTGTAAAGGGGTTTTCTTGCTCTGGCAACACTGGGCAGGAGATTTGGTATCAGGCTGGGTCTTGTCCTCACCACTGGGCAGGAGAGGAGTGTGGCCGGGCTTCGGAAAAGTGCAGTCCGAACACACCTTTGCCGCAGCGTGAGGAGGGGTGGGCACACTGGTGGCTGGATGGTCACCTGGCGTGGGGTTAACCAGTGATTATCGGACTTCAATGCACAAGCGAGCGTGCAAATGAGGGGGGGAGATCGCAGGACCCCACAGGCGCTGTGATAAGCGCACTCTGTTGACCTGCGGGATGATAGGACTCTGGGTTAACCTCTTCATGAAAACACTAGCAATAATTTATTAATCCTTTATAAACATACTCTTGATATAAAGTGTGATAATAGTTCTGCTTCATGTCCTGTGCTGGCTGGGCACAGCGTGACAAAAGAGCTCTCAGACTGGCACGGAAAGAAGAAAGGAAAAGGAAACAGTTTGCATTTGCTTCCAAAAACCGGGACGGAACAACAGCATCAGCCATTTGAAATGGGTGCTGGGAGCTGGAGGTTGGCAGCCACAACTGTGCAGAGCCCCCCGGGGGCACAGCCAAGGGCTTTGGCTCATGACAGATGAGCGGGATGCAGAGGAGTGTTTTGATGAGGGGTTTCTCCTACGGTGTTACCATTTGCAACCGGACTGGTGGGCACAGGAAGGCCTTGTGGGTGAGACACAGGCGGCTGCGCCCCGGGGTGCCACTCCCCGCCAGCCTTGCTGCCCTCCAGCCCACCTTCCCTGGGCAGCTGCCAGGGGTGATGGCATGGCAGCCAGCCTCTCATTTCGGGAGCGCTCTGGAGGGGCTGGCGGCACCTCAGACACACAGGAGAAGTTGCAATGGCGAATGGGCTGGGAGGCAGGAGATGCTTGGCTCATCCGCTTCATGATGTATATTTGGGCTAGAGAGAACAATGCCTCCTGTAACGCTGTTGCCTGGTGGCCACAGAGCACAGCATCCAGCGGCACGGGAAGGAGTGGCACGGGGAAGGCAGCACCTCGTTGGACATCCATCGGAGCCCTGAGAGCTTGGGCTCAGCCCCCGCTTGCCCTCACTAGCACCCATACCGCGTCCCTACAAACACACGCTCCTGGTGCGTACCATGCATCTCTTCAGGGGGAAAAACCAAAAGCATTGACCGTGAAGCCCAGGAAGCCAAAGGATGTAAATGTCCCCCTTGAGTCAGGGAGTTGTCAGGCTCCTCACTGAGAAGACACCAGAGGTGAAATAGGGCAATCTCCAGCGTGGTCTTAGTTTCAGCGGCCAGGGACAGCGATTGCGGTGAGACCCAAGGAGAGGTGGGCAATGCTGAGGGCTGGGGTCCCCAGCCCGCTCCTTCTCTGCTGATAAACCTCTAGCTGTGGAAAACCAGCTCCAGTGCCACCACACTTACCAGAGAGGCTGAAAAAGCAGCGGACCTCACCAGCATGGCAGGTACAGGATACGGCCCGGCGTCCCCGCTGGCCCAGCACCGTGCTCACCCTGGCGGGCACCGGCTGCTGCGGCTGGGTGGGGGGGCAGGAGCTGTCACATCACTCATGCAATGAGGGTGCCGGGTCTCGGGAGGACTTGAAACAAGAAACTGGCCTGGAAGAACTGAAAGGCTGAAAGGAGATACTTGACATCGGGTTTTCCTGCTTTCTGTGCTTTTGGGGATGCCATGTCATCGGAGCAAAAGACAAACGCTGCAGGTGAGCACCATCAGCTGGCCCCCACTGTGATCCAGGTTCCCGGAGCTGGGGGCTGGTGCTCATAAAGGGGTTCATTCTAGTTTGAATCTCATTTAAAAACAATCCTAATAAATATCAGCTGTCTGAGGTTGGGCTTCCCATGACTCCGTCAACCCAGGCCCCAAGCTGCTATTAAGGGTGTAACAGCAAATGGAAGAAACGCTTGTGAAATCAGCATTTTTGGGTGGTGTGGGGGCATTTCTTGCCTCAAAGAGCAGGAATCCAGGCTGTGAGCTGGACGCAGTGGCCAGACCTTCCTGGGAACACAGGGTGCAAAACCAGTCCCTAAAGGGAGGGAGCTGGGGGGGCGGATCAGCAAACTTCTGATGGGTTTGGAGCCATCTCAGCTGGTGCTGGAGCCAGTAACAGTCTGGACCGTGTCTTCGAAAGGCAGAATGAGTCCATCATGGGGAGGGGAGGGATTTGCATTAAAAACCAGCGTTACCCATGATGGATTTTGGCCCTTCATGGGAAAGGATGCAATTTTCAGTGGGGGAAGGTGGCGTTCCCATCACAACTCCACTGCAGCGACCCCCTCACCCAGCCCCACTGCCAGGCCTGCCCTGTCCTGTCCCTTTGCAGCCTCTTCTGGGTCCTTCTTTGCCCTTACTTCAGCCTCTCCACTCTGGCCTCCTCTTCAGCACTCCTTCACCACCAGCTTTGACGTGCTTTTGCCACCTCGGGGAAGCCGCACAGGTCTCTGCCTCCGCTCCCCTCCCAGGGGTTAACACTGGGCAGCCGACGCTCCTTGGCTTAAACGGTGCCTCTTCCAAGCAGGTATATAGAGACATACATATAAGCATATATATATATGCATATATGTACGTGTATAGGTGCAGCTTGGGCGGGTGAGGGGCTCCAGGCAGCGGGGGCTCGCTGGGAGGAGGCAGCCAGCAGTTCAGTGGGACCAGCAGTCACGGTGATGCCGCTGGCCCCGGGCTGGGCGCCCGCTCCTGGCGCAGCAGCCAAGGGCTCCGGTGAGGCGCTGGGACAGTGCTTTGTTTCCTGAGATTGCTTTTAAGGTTGTCTTTAAAAAAAAACACCACGAGGCACCACAAGCCGCCCGGCCACCCCTGCCACCAAGGTTTCCACCAGCTCTTCCCCATGACAAACCCTTTTGGGACCAGCAGTGGGGTTTTTGTCTTAACACGGTAAAAATGTAAATCGGGGGGGGTGTGTATTTGCTGGTTTCAGGGGGGGAGGAAGCATTATTTAGTGTCATTGATGAGATTTTCCTAAAAATCCCAAATCTCGTTGCTTTGTTGCTCTTTTTTCACTTCTGCTCGGAGTCTCTGCTTGTGACATCCCAGTCTGGCGATCCGTGGAGTCATGGTGTCATGGAGAAAGGCACTGATGTCACAGGCTCGTCAGGACAAATGGGCTTCACCGTGGATTTCAGAAACAGGTGATTTCACCAGGAATACCGACTTCCCACGTGAAGGCTGGCGTGGCTGCGAGGGGGGGGGGCGGGGGCGGCCCAGCCCTCCATGCCGGTGGCTCCGAGGGCTGCTGGCCCGGCTGGCGCCGGGGCAAGGGGCGAGGGGAGCAAGGGAGG